AAAGCTGGAATGGCTACCCACTACATCTCTCCCTTTTGTCTAAATAAGAAGGTTCTAACTTGATACAAGATTATATACAAAGGAATGGCTATCAAATATTATCCAGGAGTAATGAGGGATAATTTACCTCTTTGGTAATTTGGTATATGTAAACTTTAACTGATTGTTTAGCTATAATTAAATTCTAAAGAAAAGTATGACTTTCATTCCCAGCTTATGTCTGAATATGTGATTATATTATAAAGCATAGTTTTTTTTTTTTTTTTTTGGGGGGGGGGGGTGTCTCTGAATTCTGAGTCGTGTCAGGGATGATCAGGTCCCTGGCTTTGGAAAGCACACGATGAAAGCAAAGACATTGGTAGGATTTCTTGTTTGTGATGCTTAGTTGTTCAAAGAGACAAAGACTAGTTCTTTAGCTCTAAACATATTAGGAATCTTTAGGGGAGTTGTGAAGGGCTGTTGTTGTCAAGTAAATAATGAAATATGAGGAAAGCAAATGTTGCTACTTTTTCATCTAGACAGCGATAGAACTAGACTTGTTATATTCTTCTAGGAGATATTCTTTTGATTTTTTTTAATGGAATGATTTAGAATTAAGCCACAAAAATGTTTTGAGTCTCGTCCATGACTTAAATTTTATGTATTTATTTTACGCTATAATTAATTAATTGATTGATTAATTAATTCTTTTGAGATAGAGTGTCACTGTAGCACAGTTTGGCCTGGAATTCACTGAGTAGCCCGGGCTATAATGTGGTCGTTTTGGTGTTCATAGTGTCCTCAAATTGATAGTGGTGGTTCTTTCCTAGGTACCTCTTAAATTAAATGCCCATTAGTTTGAAAGAGTGAATCTTTAATTGGTTTGAGTAATCTTAGATTATTGCATTAGTAATTTATTAGACCTCAAGATATACATGGGCTGGGCGGTGGTGGAGACTGCCTTTAATTCCTGCACTCGGGAGGCAGAGCCAGGTGGATCTCTGTGAGTTCGAGGCCAGCCTGGTCTACAGAGCGAGATCCAGGACAGGCACCAAAACAACACAGAGAAACCCTGTCTGGAAAAAACCAAAAAAAGAAAGAAAAAATGGTTTGAGGCTCAATAAAATACATAGGATTTAAAAATAGCCCAGTTTAGTAAGTATTTGAGCATCTATGAAAAAATCACACCCCTATTAACATTTATAAAGTTACAAGGGACGTGTTACAGACACTTCAACTAGATGGAATTTCCCAAGTTATTAGGGCCCCAGATTCTGTTTTTCTCAAAAAAGAGTGGGTGTTGGGGGTGTCAGTTTGGCAACATCAAACCATTGCTGTTGGTTGCTTCTGAGAGGATCTCACACCAGTGTACATGCGCACGCACACACACACACACACACACACACACACACACACAGCTATAGATTTCATTTTGTGTTGGCCAGCTACTTCTGAGCATGAGGCCTGCCCTGAGTGGTTGACAGAACCAGTTCCACTCCACTGCAGAAAACAGAGTTTTCTTTTCCCTGCAACGAAGTCTCATCCCACTCCTTGTCCAATCTGTGTTAATCACCATCTACTACAAAGAGGAAGCTTCTCTGAGGAGGGCTGTGAGCTGCACTGGTCTATGGGTGTAGCTTAACAGTTGCTTGTCTAAGAAGATGGAGGGAGGCTCACTTCATGGTTTTTCTTCCTTAGTCTGGAGTTTGCTATTGCCCTTAAGAAATCCTTCTTTTCAGTAGAGGAGGTTTATTGCAAACTCAGGTCTGCACTGGGGATATTCACTGGTGTTGGGGTGCCATGGCTTTGGTGTCCTTGAATCAAATAGCTTGGCAAAATCTTTTTTAAAAACTGTGAGCTCTAGTTGAGATTCATCCCTGCAGGCTGGCCGTGTGTCCTCTGACTCGGGGTTTCCTATTACTCAGCACAGTCCCCCAAGAGCAGTTGTACATTGTAGAGTTGGTTCAGCTGTAGTGAGAGTGGCTGACCCCACCCCCACTTCCCCGGAGTGCATCCATAGTTTCAAGTTTGTCAGTTGAAGCATTGAGAAGTGGTCCCACATGTGGCTTTAAGTTTCTCTTGTAAGTGAACCAGAGCATTTTTTTAAATCTTTGTGAGGAGCAGTTGGGTAGCTTTGTGTATGCTACCAATCTTTAGTCCACTGTCTGCTCCCTTTTAAGGGTCTCCTTTGATTTAAAAAATTATTTACA